CTAGTATCGCAGAGGTCAGTGGTTCGAATCCCGTACAGGCCTGATTTTTTTTTCAGGTCTGATTTTCGCCATTGCATAAATAGCGCTCTCTACTGCGAGGATCGTGCATCATACGTATCTAATACCGCAGTTCAAAATATATGAACTTTCATATATTCATGGTACAAGCTATAATGTAGTACATTAATTTTGAAAGAAATTAAAAATTTCCCCAGGTTTTTATGTCATTTCGTGCTAACGCTTATGGGAATAGCCGCTGATTTTCCTTTATCAGCCTCCGTAACTAAAGTTCCTAAGCCCTTGCTCAATTCCGCTGCACTGTTTTTCGATGCAAGATTCTTTTGTTGTAAGGTAAATTTACTTTTCCGTGGCTCTTTTGATAAGATAAAAGTCAACCTTCTGTATTACCCCCCTCTCTCTCTCCCTCGTTGAAAACGTTCAGAAAGGAAAGAAAGGGAAACAACTTCCTTTTGTTCGTTTATTTCGTTGCAGAAGAATCAAATGAATAACACGTATGCTACAACTTCAATTTAAAGTTCACCGATGATGAGTCAAACATGAGTTACGAACAATTGTGTTATCCCATAATATTTTAAATTTAAACTTATCAACGTGCAAGTAGCAACTATGGAATTATTAATCTCGGTGTAAATGTTGTAATAGGCTCCCGAAAGGATAATACAAACAATTTCCTGGCCTTAATTTTCCAAAAATTCTTTTGGCCCCAAAAGGAACTCGGGTCAGGTGTAGAAAGTTTTGACACATTTTTGTAAATTAAATCTTTTGAAACTACTCCAACTGGCTGTAAATTGATAGTTATCACATTCTATTTAAAACAACCTAACTACTTACCCACCCGCACGAACTGTTTCTGATTGTCAACATTTTAATTATATTATATCAATCTACTTCAAAATTCGTTGTTCAAAGTCGTAACTTGAATTAAGTAAATTTGATTAAGCGAGTGAAATGTTCAAATTCATGCCCGAAGGTTTTTCTAAGGTCCCACTTATACGGCCTCGAGCAGCCAAGATATCCCCCTCCTTCCTTTATAAATTTTACAAATTACCCTCCACGAGACCCCCTGTTTTCGCAACAAAAGGAGAATCTTGATAAAAAATGGGACTGGGTAACCTGTTCCACGTTCACTATAGGCGGATAAAGCGGAAATAGCGGACCGGCGACGCTCCCACTGACACCACCAATTTTGTCTGACTGTACCGCCCATGTCACCCCTGATCAAGAGCCTGGGGAGACTGACAGTAAAGGACCTTAGAACGGCGACTCAGCTGTCCGCTGGTCTCAATTCGGCAGGCGGGTAACCTGACTGGTCACCTTCAATCGTTAGTTAATACGAGTCAACTTACACTATAATTTGTTCCCTGGCCCTCCCGATAAAAGATGGGCAGTCGTTCAATAAACCCCTCTTGAAAATGGCGTTCGGTCCAAATTGAATCTTAAATGTATCTTAACGTTGAATAACCCCAAAGAGTAACGTCCAAATTTAACACTACTACTACTCATATCTTCAAGGAAGTGGCGGTCTGAAATATTTCTTGTTGGCATACGCTCGTATGTGACCATTAATAAGATGTACTTAAAGCTAATCATAATGTCCCTCACCCTCTTCAAATTAACATTATTTCGCCAGCTGAAACGGCACCTAGCTATATTTCAGGTGCAAAATGACCAATTAAAAGGTGGCCACGCAACTGTAATTATTTATATTTTATCTTATTTATATCTTAAGTATTTACGTTTTTAAGCATTTCATAATTTTGATATTCTGTAGCCATTTTCAAGAGGGGTCCATTTCCATGTTAACTGTAGTTAAAAATAATTTACCTAGGGGTGGGTGGTCTAGGATACCTAAACTCACATAAATGGGGCTTAAGTAACACAACTAAATATTCATCGAAACTTTCAAATGGTCAAAACTCTCCCCTCCCCGCCCCCTCCCAAAAAAAACTAGCAAGAGACCTTTGGTCTTCCACACATTTACTGGCGAAAACAAAATGTTCCTGCAAAATTTTTTTCCAAGAATGGTACTTATCCCCCTAGCACGACGATATCTTTCGTATATCTTATTCGAATGTGTTGAAAGCTATGCTACCAATTACTTCAAGAACGCCCCTGATGATAGTAAAGAGGCAAGCTTTACTATGATATATTACACGGGCAGGGTGAACTAGGTGGTCACCAGTCCACCTCAGTTATGACCAATATCGTTGGTAGTAGTACTCAGTCCGCCTCAACTTTCATTGACAAAGTCGTTTAGTCCTTAATGGAAATCTGCAACTCGTCCTTGCAGACAAATCGCTCTAGTTTCTATTCAACAGTCTGAAAGGCCCTCTACTCTTCTTCGTTGTCAATGGAGTGCGTTGGTTTCGCAGTCGGTGTATCGTACTCTATTGTAAACTTAGCCATTTCCTTGCTGCACTCACTAACAGGAATCACAAACGTCGATATATCATCGTACGAAGCTAACTCGCCGTTGGTTCGCCTCCAACCTTTTTCATTCAGAGTGCCTCGCGCGTCGCCAACAAGGGCCTGGGCTGCCATGACGTACCTGGAGAAAAAATTGGATGATAAGGAAAGAATGGGCTCCATTTGGCGATAACATATTATGGGATTTTCGTTCGTTGGCATTAACTGTATCTAGATGCGAGCCGTTATCTGAGCGCAGAGGTATCATCGGCTGATCATAACAATAAAAGAAACTTGAAAAAAATTGTGCAATCGTCAAGAGGCATAATTATTAATTAATTAATCATGAATTAATTAGCCTTTATCTGAGCGCAGAGGCATCACCGGCTGATCATAACCATAAAAGAAACTTGAAACAAATTGCGCAATCGTCAAGAGGCATAATTATTAATTAATTAATCATTAATTAATTAGCCGTTATGTGAGCGCAGAGGCATCACTGGCTGATCATAACAATAAAAGAAACTTGAAACAAATTGTGCAATCGTTAAGAGGCATAATTATTAACCCTTTACATGTAAGAGTGACTAACATCTAGTTTCTCCTTATGACACCCACCCCGAAACACACATTAAGGTCAGGAGAAAAAAGGAAATGAGCATGAACTAAAGAAGCTCTTGATTGATGAACAAATTCTCCTTAGGAAATGTATAAAGAACAGTATGGAGAATGTTCATACCGATGTTAGTGTGCAAAGGTTGAGAACGTTCTCTTTCTTAAAATATGAGAAAACGCACTTCTTCCCTAAGTTAAACGTACCTTCTCTTGTTGTCTTTTGGGATTTTGGAAAACGTGTCCATTACCAACGCAGCAGCCTACAAGACAAAAAAAAAGAAAAAAAAAAAATTAAGTAAAAGGTTTGATGCATCGTCCGGAATGGGTATTCCCTCGCGATTTGGGAGATGGCGTGAAGTGTATGGGTGCTTTTGTAAGGTGGCGAGGGAAAATGGTGTAGTTTGGGGTGCGATAATAACGAGAGTTAAAAGCGGAAAATGAGAATACATTGAGCAATTTGGGTTAAAGTGGAATGGAAAGTAGGGGGTTAGAGCTGCGTGCGGGGAGGGGTAGGGTTAAGAGAAAAAGGTGGAGTGGGTAAACAGGGTAGGGGTAAGCCAAAGGAAATATCGAGCCATTAGGCAGGGTGTGAAATGAGAAGCTGGGTAGAAGGTGCACTCGAGACTTGGGCTGAGAAGTATGGAGGTGGGAAATAGGTAGGAAATAGAGGGCATATAGAATGAAAACTATGGAGAACCTTTAAGTGGGGGAATAACATTGGAATGAAAGGGAAGCTTGGGGTGAAGAAGAGACCCGCTAAGTGAGTAGAATGGGGGAGGAGTGGAATAGTGAGGTCAAGATTCGGGTGGAAACTGTGTAGCGTCGAAGAGGACGCAAATGATGAAATGTAGAAGTGGACTAAAGAGAAATCAAAGTGGTACGGATACAGATTGATAAAAACCGGAGAGGGGTTTGGAAGACAAAAAGTTATTCGTGTGAATGAGCTTAAAAATAAAAAAAAGTACTTCTAGCTGTTCGGTAAGAGCTGAGACAAAATTATAAAAAAGGGTATATAATGATCTCATAAATTCTACATCTTTAAAGTACTCCGTAACTGTACACAATAATTTCGACCGAGAACTTCTTTTAGACCAGAGGGTATCAACTCTACAACACAACTGACGAATAAGTGGAACATAAATGGCAGGCTAATATAAATGACGTGCTTTTAACAAAAGTTACTTTAATTTGCGCAAACAGTTAAATTTTATTTCACTGAAAAAACAAAGCAAGAGTTTCATCACCTTTTCAATGGATAATCTCTCCCAGAGTCCGTCAGAAGCCATTATCACAACATCATCCTCTGAGAGCTTACAGTTTGATAAATCAAACATCCGAACCTGAAAGAAGTTGAGCGAAGTTAGCAGAAAGCAGGTGACGGTAATGGAGACTTACTTTTCATGGAAAAGCGAGAGTCTGGCGCGAATTAAATTCTTTTATGCCTGTTCCTATGGTGTCCAAAGATCGCTGCCACCTCTTAATCTAAAGATAACACGTTCATCTAATTGTAAATTTGCTAGTTTGCTCCTTCATCCCCATCGACTTCCCAACGCGCTTATCTTCACTGTCTTCTCCTAAGCCACAATCCTTTGAGCCAGCGCCGGTAAATTGTCCATTTTGACAGCCAATCGGATGCTCGGCCAATATCTTTAAGAACTGTGTACGCTGATCAAGAGTATTGCGGTACAGGGTCGAGACTGAGCTCATTTTTCATACTGTTACCATAATAACTATGATCTGTTGTTACAATAATAACTGTCGTGTACTATTACCATAACAACTATTGTGTCTATTACTGGAGCTGTTGATTGCTGACTTTCGTACCTGTTAAGGTATATCATTAGCTGCAAAACTCTTACCTCTGGTTGTGGAGTGAGGAAAGGTTTAATGGGAAGGTTACAGAAGGCTACTCTCAAGTCGTGATCTCCGAAGCCACGAGTCGTTCCTATGGTGTCCAAAAGGCGAGCCTGATAAAGAAACAAATCTTACAGCAAGTTTTCTTAACAATAAGACTGGACAGTAAATTGGCAGGTTCTTCCATAACCTGTGGGCAGGCTCTCAACAGTAGCGCTTCAACACGAGCCTTTCTTCGCCCGCGAGAAAGAAAGAGGCCTTAAGTAATGCAAGCCCGCGAGGGGTCAGCAGGTGGTCTGGCACGACAAACCTCTTTAAAAATCGTCTCAAATCTTCCGCGGGCAGAGAAACCCGCGTCCTGCGGCGCCAAAAAATGAGAGCTCGGTTATAAGTTTGTTGTTCAACCTTCAAAATCCTAGTCACTAAAAACGCTTTTCCATTTAACTACACATAAAATAAATAGAGAGATTCACTTGTTACATATCCTACGTAGCAGGCACTGAGGTAAGACCAGAGCGCACTTATTAATGACGATGGAAAAAGAATGGACTCAAGTCTTGCTTGTGATTCAAGAACGCGTTGTTTTTTTTTTCCCACGCGTGTCCTTTGAAACTCGCGCACACTTTTCTCGAGCAGTTTCTACGCACACATATCTAGAAAGAGACCCTTTCTGTCGCTTGTGCATGATTAGAAGTTGTTCAAGGTTCAAAAAGGTTTCAATAGCAAGTGTTAAGTGAGTATATTTTGCAGCGAGCAAAAGATAGTATGAGAGCATTGCAGTGTTGTGATAGCCACATGCGCACAGGGACCGTTTCAATCAAAGAAGGAAATGGAATGACCCCTCTAGCAGTATTTTTTTAAGTCAAGAATTTTTTCATCAAAGTTGCACTTTATGAACGTGACGAGCGTATGATATACAGTACGTCTGGATAAAATGGAATCAAACATAATAAATAGAACGAGTTTTTGTCAATACCTTCTTTCCTTCCCCATTAATCATTGGAAATTTTTTTGTGTCCTCCTCGGTCACCGTCTTAAGAGCCCTGTAAAAACGTAGAAGTGTCACTGTATCAACAGTCGGTTAAGTCTCTCTGACTACTCCCTGGTCAGATTTTTAGTAAATTTCCCATAACGTTTTGGGTCCTGAGACTCGCAATCCTGCCCCTGAGTTCTTCCTTCGGTGCCCTATTGGGAATTAAACTCAAGCGGCCATCTGGGGTCAACTCTTAGTTATATGGGGCGCGCCAACGGAACTAACTCTTGATCTATTCATCTTCGAACAAACTTTATAAAACTTAAAGTCGTTTATTTGCTACCCGTCTAATTATCCGCCAACGTTTCCAGCCCTCTTTCCTCGATGACTTATTCACCCCCGCGGTAAATAATTATTCAGTAAAAACTTTTCTTCTGAAGTTTTCAACGATCCAAACAAAAAAGACATGGTTGCACGGCCACTGACAAATACGACAGATCTGTTAAGGCAAACAGTCCACTGCAATGGGAACGATGGAAAAAGTGGTGAGCGGCAAAGATTTGTCAAAATGCAACACTCTTTTTCCATTTTCACACTGTTACGGCACAATTGTTCGCCCGCCCTATTTTTCAATGGTCTCCATTGCCTGTAACTTTCAAATGATATTCTGTGCGAATTGACAGCAACATTACCAAACACAAAGTACGGAGAGGCACAAAAATGAAAAACAAAAACATACAAAATAAGCATACCATCCCGTCATGTGACGGTCCCTGTAAAGGAGCTTCTGACCGATGTGTTTTTTCCTGGCTCTCTGTTGAAATTCAAGCCGGCCGAAGTCACTTCCTAAAAGTTGGGGTTTATGGTAAGCCTATCAGAGAATAAAACCGTTCGTAAGCAAAATCACTGAGAAATGTTCCACTAAGGCTTAAGGAGAGCCTCGTGTGTGTGGAGAAGAAACAAACAAAATGAAAGAAAAATGAACATTTGGCCGAGAAGTAGAGCCTCGCAACTAGAAAATTTCATGGAAAATCGACTTTCTGCTTAGTGAAAATATCAATGCGGATATCAATTCGTGAGTTTTAACAAGAATCCCAAAACGAATGTTTATTTCTCCATTGGCAAATGGTTTTTTTAAGTAATCAAAGCTCAATTCAGCTAACAAATAGGTATAATAGCTTTATTGGCTCACTATGTTTTTTCACAACTTACAAGTAATTGAAGTCTTTGTCTCTCTGTCTCTGGCGTGAAGTCACATGATAAAGGAATTACTTTTCCCTTATGGACCAGGATTGCTCTGATGAAAGCATAACAAAAACAAAAATTAAAAACATGTTACTGCAAATAGACCAAAGAAGTAAGAGGTCTTTTTTTCTTGTTTATGGCCTCATCTAAACACCAGGGGGTTTAAGAGAATTCAAGAACGTTAAATAAACTCGAGAAACAGCGAGTAAAACTTTCTGGTCTTTGATTTGCCAATGTGACCTTACCTCTGCTGTGATCCCATAAACAGTTAGGAAGTGTCAAAAAATAAATTATGTTTATTGAGCTACATGCACATCCCCAAAGGTATAGACCACTTTCATAAATGGCTGCCGGATTAATATTCTTTTGTTTAAATTTAAATTAGCCCTACTGGCACCGTTCTCCGGTACAAAACTCAAAAGAATAAATTATCTCAAGCGAGGCCAGAAGGGCTAATTTAAATTCATTGTATAGATACTGATGAAATACCAGGATTTCTCCTTTTACTAAAAAATCATATCTTCACTGGAAATTTCATCAGTATCTATATAATAAACAGAACAGTACATGGCCGCTTGGGGATACGAATTTTATCTTCTCATGCTGAAAGTATCTCTCACGAGTGAGAGATACTTTCAGCAGGAGAAGATAAAAGTAGTATCCCTGTGCGGCCATGTAATATCCTCTATTTAAACAAAAGAATATTTATACGACAGCCACTTATGAAAGTGGTCTATTGGGCTGGTTTTCCACAGGTTAAAAAATATGACTGGACATGCTTATCCAAAGCAGTAAAAGATTTTTGCTTTGTTCACACAGTTCTACCCATCCGGTATGTGTGCAGAGTGTTACTTTGCAAAAATTGTAAATGGCACCTGCTTGCTTAGTTGCCAACCATCGATGCAATCACACCTTTGCCAGTGATTGTTGCCTATTCCAAGTAGTTAGTTTACTTAGTGAAATGTAAAGAGTGCAATAATTACAGAGGAGCAAAAAATTGCTCCTCCTATTGCTCCATGTACTAATTTGTGCTTTTTCACTATCCAAACACCATCAAACAAGCTAAAAGAAATCCAGGTGTGACATTGCACACATAAACTTTCTGATCATAAAAGCTCAGTTCTTTGTTCTAAATTTTACTGCGCAAATAATTGAAATGGTTAGGTGTCTTTAGTTTTACGTGGTAAGTGAGGTTCTAGATAATGAATTATGTGAATTTTTAAGAGGCAGATAATCTTTTGTGGCATTGTGTGAAAATAGGTTCAGGTCACAGCTTGCTTATATGTTGTGATCTCTAATGAGGCCATTAATTCATAACACAACAAAGTCAATGTCAGCAACCTTTATACTTGCAGAAAACCCAGAACATCTACCCTTGGTATTACAGTTATGGAGTTTACCTGCAGTCTCCTGCATTGGCAACATACAACTTCTTTCCCAAAAACAGGGCAACAATTGATGCACAGCCTCCATCGATCCTGTACGTAACTTTCTCTCTCCTTATCTGTTCATCCTGGTAAAATATTCATTAAGATCTGACTAATACATTATAAATTCTGACTGTTTATCAAAAATTCAAACACAATATCTACATGAAGTACCCTCACCAATGCACAGCTTTCAGTCAGCGGAGATGGGTCATTAAGTGGGAGATTGCTGCTCGTTATACTAAGTACCCTTGCCCAGTTTTTTTCCATACTTGGGTTGCTTTACTGCTTGTCTCAACAAACCCAGTGACTGAAACAGACCATTTGCACCCAGGTATGTTGTTGATTTTCAAGGTAGGAGATTGAATATTGCATGGTGACACTACAATAACATTTCTCTTAACCACATGATGGCTCGACCATTGAAAAGAGGGACTCGTGATAAATTAATGTTAGGCTTCCAACATGCCCCCCTTTTAGGTTTCAGAAAAGAAACACAGCAAGTGCAAAAGAAAAAGGGTAAAGTCTGTACTTGATACTAAGGGACCCACCCAACCAGTAAGACTACTACTCCCCCCTGGATGGAATGCCAGTCCCCCCCTCCAGCATTTTATCAAGTTTTCCTGACAATATGCCAGTACCCATTTATATTCCTAGGTGGAGTCAGGCACTGTGAGAGCAATGTGTTTGCCCAAAAACAAAACACAATGACTTGGCCATCCAGGAGTCCAGTGTACTAGTTAACCCTGAACATTCAAGATCTGATTGTTAATTCCCCCCTCTAGCTGCCACACATTTCCTTGTAATTAAGTTACAAGAATTTGGTGTTAGATCAAGATAACAATTTCTACTTAATCTTGAATATTCCCATAACCTATTTCCTAGATAATGTAAAGATATTAAAGGGAAAATTTTCATGTTAATCACATCTGGGAATTTAAGAGTTAACCATTAGGTCACCAAATCTCTCACAAAGAGCAAAATAAGCAAATAGCAAATTGAGCTCCACACTCTGTTTGCCTTTTTCATCTAATCTCAATGTTTATTTTTGTCCTAACACAAATTAGAGCTAATGTTCACTCACCATTTCAAAAAATGCCTCTTCTAGGACTCCAATGACAAGATTATCAATTGTCACTGAAGAGACAACAGCTTCAGATAACTCCTCTGCCTCAGCAAGTTTTTCATCATTTTCAAAAGCCAACAAATCTTTCACACCATCCAACTTCTCCATTATATGGACATGAAGGTTACTGATGGCCATCAAAGCTGCTCCACATCCAGCATGGCCATCAAATACACCAAAATATGCATAAGGGATCTTGGTCTGAAAACGGAAAATCCAGATTACTTACATGTAACTTCAACCCAATGAACACTTTACATTCTAACATCTGTACACAATTTCTTCATCAGGGCTCAAAATTGCAACCGATACGGTTGCCAATGCGACCAAAACTTTGAACTTGGTGACTAAAAATTCGAGTTTAGTCCCCACTTTGGCAACAAGGAATTTGACTAAATTCCTCTGAGAAATAAAAGAATATAGGTGAGAAAAATTTCCTAAGTCTCGTTTCTGTTTTTCTGCTAAAGGAAATGCAAATTAAATCTGTTTACCTTTAAGTTAAAACTTGAAATCGCTTTTAAATTGCGACTTCCGAGACGACATTACAGTGGCTTCTACCTGGTGATCATGGGTGCAATATTTTGTTGAAAGGCTTCTCAATTTAAAAGCGTTCTGTGCTTTCTTTCACCATGTGCTCAAAAACACACTCTAAAAAATCATCATAACTCAACCAGCGGATTTACATCAGGAACAGGAGGTCTGGTACTAAATGGCTATCCGCCAGGTTTAATAAATGTTTGATGCCTTCATATCGTACGATTTATTGCATGCGATGTGACAGATTTTCCTTGCTAAAGTAACCCTGAAATGTTCTTATTACTTTTTTCGCTTACTGCTTAAGGTAAGATTGTCCTGCAAAAGTCTTCCGGAGTTTCTTCTTTTAAGTTTTCATGTTTTTAAGTCATTCAAAATCGAGTATTTTGGTCTATCCCACAACCGCAGCCACAATCTACCAGAAGCCGAAAAACAATGCAAATTAAATAAGGCTGTAATCTGATTTTCTGTTCTTGTGCTATCTCAGGTTACTGCATTTTTGCATTTAGCAACCATTTTTTCTGTGATAGTTGCTAAAAGGCGACTTGAAATTTCTTTTAATTTGGAGCCCTGTCCATACTGTTTTCTATACATTTCCTATGGTATTGACAAGGAGATTTGTTTAACTATCAAGAGCTTCCCTTAGATAGTTGGTGATCATTTCTGTTAATTAAACTAGTGAACTTGATGTGTGATTCAGAGAAGAAATTAAATATTACTAATTGTTAGAGGTTAAAAGGTTACAGAAACTAAAAGTTTTAACTTTTTATTTTTGTCTTCATGCATGTGATTGGGTTTTCTTGACACTGCACTGAGTTTTGTTAGCTAGGTATGGTTTTCCTAGCCCACTTTATCAGAGCAATCCGCTGGATAGCCATATATAGGTCACAACTCGTTCTTATCCCCTTCTGACACTGATGAGTCTAAAAATCATATAGAGAATTAACAGACTGATTGTTCTTGGAGCATGGCTGTCACTAAGCACTGGCAGCTGGTGCAATTAGCTGCATGAAAAAAGGGGCCATCACCATCTGGATTTTTGGCCTGCAATTGCTTGGTAAAGCACAACAGGCACTTACAAGGTTACACACTTACAAGGTTACACACTTACAATCATTCACCACCTTTGAGCCCGCTCACTTGAAATTTCAGCCAGAAGCACAATTCTTAGCTACAACCCTGTTGGAGAATAAGTTTAGATCCTTGAGAAACATATACCTGTGTCACATGGGTAGGACTTCCATCACCATCTGATTCATGAGTTGACTTGCTGCCATTTAAGCAGAACATTCCAGCCACTGACTGATCTTCATTTTTACCAGGTGTTTTGCCAGCATTTATTGCTCTAAAGAATACAACATAAGGGATTTACCTTTAAATATTATGACATTATTGCTTGATTCCCACTATGGCAATTTTGTCTATGCAAGTGAACATGTGTCAAGAAAACAACAACAAGAAAACAAAAACAAAAAAAACAGACATTGACCAAAGGTTGTCGTGTTTCCACTATCATGTCATTTTCAAGTGTTTACATGCATTTCAAGCTCATCAACGCAGCCAGAGTGCCGAGAAAAGTTAAACGGTTATCAATTTTTGAGCAGAGACCTACGTTTTTTGCACATTGGTCATTTCTGAGAATGAATATGAAATTATAATGAATATGAAATTATCTTTATGATGAATAATTATACATTTTAAACATATGGTTACACTGCATGCTGTGTACCAAGGTTTTCCATGTGTGAACCCAAACTTTTTTCATCTAAGTGTAATTATTAAATTGTCATTTATTATTACTATTATGTCTGTGTAACTTGCTTTTGATCCTAATCGGTTTTATGTCACTACATTACTACTCATAACAGACAGAATTCTTTGGGATGAAATAAAGGCAAGTACTGGGCCTTGTGAAGATGAATTTCAAGTGGACGCTATATTTTGAAATCAGAAGCATTGCTCTATTTAGCAAAATAAAAGACCAAAACTTATTTTTTTCTCTAGAGCATAAGAAGCTTTTGAAAATTGTGTAGTTCAGATAGAGGTAAGAGCAACAATTACTTAAACTCTAAATTTTAAGCTAAAAAATCAGTGACAAGCTGTTGTGTCATAATTTCATTTTCAATTCATCAGGAGGTACATGTGCAGGCAGGCACCACAACTTTAAAAATCTCGTCTGCATTACAAATAAGAAAAACAATTTTCCGTTGGGATTAATTATTTCAGTTATTGGGACAAATATCGCCATTACCATGAAATCCAAAAATAGATTGAGAAATAATTATAGTAACTACTTGGGATAGACTTCGATACCTACATGTACCTTCGAGTCATGGTGATAAGGCAAAGTCCTATTGAAGGAGGTTTACCAAGGCGCAAAATATTAAGAATCGAGGCCGAACAGAGCACTAGAATAAGTCTTGTTCATCTATAATTAACCTCGCACCCGTTGTGAACATAAGAAACGAAGGTTGGCTTGCGACAAAATTCAATCATGAATCAATGAGCAAAGACTAACTTTTTCGATTTAAGATCGAGGGTTTTCATTTCTAACGCGAGTGGAAAAGAAAGGTGGACGAAGAAGCTCCATTCGAGGTTGTAATGAGAACAGGAAGTTAATGGTAGAGAGCCTTCATAAATTAGTATAGAAGGAATACAATATTAAGTAAACTCCGTAACCAACGGCGGATATAGCCCTTGAATTACGATTAGATCACTTACTCGGCATATCCTGCATTCAAGGGAAGTTCTCTATGTGGGATAAGAATCGGTCTTACATCATGATCGGAAGACGCTTGTACAGATTCTTCGTTCAGTTGAAGAAATTCAGGCCTTCGATATTTGTACTTTTCTTCCAACATATCATTATATACACGGAAGCCTAAACGCCTGTCCGAGTTCACGTTTGTAAAGTAGGCAATCGCATTGGCCGGGTTAATGTTTAGCATTCGTTTGATGCCATGAAAGCTCATAGTTGGATCCCTAACTGAACATGTAGGGCACCCCTACGGAAAAGAAAATAAAAGATAGAATTATCCAAGGACCTTTTCTGGTGCAAAACCGCTGATAAGGCGACAGGGATGAAAAACGTCTGCGCGTGCGCTAGAGGCCCACAGTAAGAAACGTGGGCTCAGACGCGCGCTTATTTAAACTCGATAAATTTTGCGGGAAATGAACAGCCGTTACAAAAGTTGAAATGATAAGAAAGCTGCCAAAAAGATAAGGTTTTTATTCTCATTTTTGAAAAGAAGACAAGAATTAAAAAAAATTGAGAGGGTGAACAAATTTTAAAAAAATTCTTCTCGCGCCGAAAAACGGTCTTTTGTGCAAAGTTTCAATGCGGTTGCGAACTGGCTCATTTGGCGGCAACGTTTACAGTG